GGAACCCTAATCGATCATATTCTATCTTTCTTATTGTTTTAGAATACTTTTAAGTTTTAGCTTTTAGGGAGAGAGAGATTTGTTCTCTTGAACCCTTGTTCTTTCTTTTTCAATTTCGGTTTCTATTCTACTTCTTAATACTATGCTTTTGATTTCGTTCATTATGTCTGAGTAGTTTTATTGTTGGGATTAAGGGATTTTCGATGGGGATTTATATGTTCGATGAGGATTCCATGAGCTTTTGAGCCGAATCTTAGAGCTTTTTCTTATGAATTCGTTTTTACTGCATGAGAGTAGCATCATGAACTACAATCTGATCCAGATGCTTGGTGACACGAAAGTGTTCATCAGGTATCAGATCTAGTTTGGAAGAGCAAAACAAACATAGGAGTGGAAACCTACCTATGGGCGATTTGTGAATTAGGACGAGTCTTAAACATAATGCATCTCTTCTCTTCCAGGGCCAGAGTGGAAACCTACTGGTCAGGGTTGAGAGAGATAGTTGTCTATGATCACGACAGTGGCGTATTCATACGTCCGTGACTCCAGTTCGAAAAGTTTAAGCTAAGATCTTATCAAATTTACTCTCTAGCAATGTTTTGAATCGTTCGTACCCCTGAGAAAACTTCCCTGAAGCCTAACGCTTTCTTCCTTATTGATTTACACCGATTTTCTTTAAAGCTATAGTTCAATATTGTCTTTCCTTTTTAGTTCATTTTCATTTAAGCATTAGAATATCCGTTTTTATCATTTTTAGTCATTTTCGTTAAGTTTAGTTATTACGTCATTTAATTCCCGTATTCTCTTTTAATATTTCGTTTTTACATTTTAAACACACTACCAAACCCCCACAAAACCGTTTTTGTTCTAGACTTCCTTACTTTAACTTATTTCAAAGGCTGTTTGCAGGAAAAGATCCTCCTTCCCTGTGGATTCGATCCCTAAGTACTACAATTGATCAGCTGTGCACTTGCAGCTATTGATTTCAATTAGGGTAAAACTTGACAACCCTCGACACACATCAAGTCACCATCACAAGACCTGTGACAAATTAGAGAGACAACCCGAGAAGGAGGAGCCATAGACACTAAAGTCATCCATGAACACCTCCACCTTCTCTTCAATGATGTCAGAGAAGATATGCATCATGCAACGTTGAAATGTGGCAGGGGCATTACAGAGACCAAAAGTGATGTGAGCATGGAAAGCATGGAGAGCTTGGAGCATGGAACTAAACCGCAGCTTGAACCCGTGGAGCTTGGAGCTGAAGATGATGAAGCATTGATCGTCCCCAATGGTCCCATTGATATATTCATAAATTGCATCATTTAATGTACATATTCTAGTCCAAATCATGTCTCATTTGCATGCATTTTAGGTGTTTAAGCATTGTTTTAGGACTTAGGAGATTGCATTAGGTCCAAGAGAGTTTTGCATGTTTTGGAGTGTTAAACAGGTGCTTTTGGAGTTTATTTGGAGTGGAGGATGTGATTCAGATGAAGAAATGGAGTTGAAATGATCAAAAATAGTGAAAAGGAGCAATTTTGGGTTTCTCGGCAAAATGATATACTGATGGCCGAAGATTCTCGGCCAAAATCCTTCCCGCGGGTAGCTTTCTCGGCCAAAAACACGTACCGCGGTCAAGTCTCTCGGCCAAAATCTCCGGGTGCAGACACGTTTCCGAAATCGCCCGTCCGGGGAACCTTCCGGTCAGATTCAGCTATCGGAGTCTTCATAAAGGTTGGAGATAATTGAGTCAAGAGTTCATAACAGTTGGAATCAAGGCATTTGGACCACGGAACTGAAAGATATGGTAATCGGAAGACGAACAGGTCTCGCACTCATTCCGGAGCAATCCGATACCCCTGAATGATCTCCTGTCCGGGGAGCCTTCCGGTCCGATTCAGACGGCGGGTGCTTCATAGAAGTTGGAGAGCATTGCATCACGGTCTCTTAGCAAGTGAAATCGTGGAATTCGGACGCGTGAGCAGAGAGATAAGCTTGTCGGAAGGAACCCCAGTCTCGCAGGTATTCCGGACCGAGCAGATCAGTTCTAAAGGATGCGAAGGACGGTGCACTTCCAGGCCGATTTAGTTTCCGGGTCCTTCATGAGAACCATAGCCATTTGAGTCTTCTTTCCAGAACGTCCAAGAGCATTCAATTCGGATCTATGAGCAGAAAGATACAGTCTCCGGAATGGACACATGTCTAGACGCCTCTCTCTGGTCGTGTACATGCACTGCAAAGATGTGCCCTCCAGGAAGCCTTACACTTCCCAAGCACCGAAGCTTTCTTCACCAAAGTTGGAGATAAATGAGTCCTCTGTCTTCTGCAACCGAAATCATTCAATTCGGACAAGTCTCATAGGAGTTACACTCTCCGGAATGCGAAGTGGTCTAAGCTGCTCTGGATGCTGCGAGTTGGAGAGGAAGGAGACCAAGCCGCAGCAACACTCGCAAATCACTCCGACTTGAGCCTGCGACCTAGGTGCAATAGAGACCAACCCGCACAGTTTGTACATTCCCCAGAAACCGCCTTAGCCCTGCGAGTTGGAGAGGAAGGAGACCAAGCCGCAGCAACACTCGCAAAACACTCCTACTTAGGCGTGCGGCTTCACAAGACAAGTCTTCATCTACTGCGACTTAGGTGTGCGACCTGGGACATACTGGACTGACCCGCAGGATTTCCACTTGACCCAACTGAGCCGGGTCAGTACCCAGTTTGTCCTGGGCTGACCCGGTCCATTAGCACTTAGTATATATAGTTTTTTGGGAGAAAAACCCTAGGATCATCTTCTCTCTTAGTTTCTCTCTAGTTTTCTTTCCTTTTTAGTGTAAAAACGTTTTTGATTAAGAGATATCTGAAGGGATTTGATCATTCCAAGTCTGTTTCTTATCATCTCATCATCTCATTTCTACTTCTAATCATGATTAACATCATCTCTTGCAAAAGATTAGATGTGTTCTTCATGATTAGTGAGTAGTCATCTTTTAAACTTCTAGGTGTGTAGATTAGGGTGCTTAGATGTTTGATTGGTGATGTTTAGGGTTTAGATTCTCATTCCATTTCCTTAGTTAGTTGCTCCTAATGCCAGATTTCCTTGGGAAAGTGAAATCTGGGTTCATAGGCATTTCATGCACCAAAAGTGTTTGATGAAATGCCTGAATGAGCTAACTTAAGGGTTTATGCCTTTTTCATCATGGGAATGATTTGTTAAATGCATGAATGACATATTAGAACTGTTTCTTAATGCTCATTGATTCATATTTCACAAATGATGATTTGGTTTGAAAGTGGATTAGTGTAGAGATTAATGCCTTCATGAGAGGATTAGTCTAGATTAGAGTTCTAAGTTGAAATGTTTGAGATCATGTGATTGCTTGTTATGTCTTTCTGTATAAGATTCAGTCTTCTTGGTTGAGAGATTGTTTGGTCACTTATTAGGCTTGATGCATTATGCTTGCTGATTGCTTGATTATATCTAATGGTTGTTAGACTTGATTAAGTGATTTGCAAAGGGATTATTATCATGGGAATGAATTAATCTGATTAAGAAGCCTAGACTAAAGAGTAGCAAGTGTTGCATTATGTTCTTAGCATCATGATTCAATATCTAAAGCACCCTAATCAATGATCACATCTAGAGGTTTAGCTTTTATCATTTGCTTAATCACCATCATCTTGTTTTGTTTGCTTGCTTAGTTCATTAATCATAGCTTGTTTGTTTCTTGTTTTATGCTTTCTTGTTGCTGGTTTCACAAAACTCATCTTTGATTACTTGACTTAAGAACCTATCACATAAACTAGTGCCTAACTACCACACATATGGATTGACACCCCTTATACTACTTTGACAAGGGGATTGATAACCCATCTAAGGCTTTAAAAACCTTAGTTATCAAAGAACCACACCAGGTATCACTCCATACACTTGTACATGAGCATTTAGCATTTTTCTTTATCTTTTGCATTTCATGTTTGAAGCTTGTCCAGCCACATTGGTTGTGATTCAAGCCGTCTAAGCGATGACAATGGAGGTGTGTGGACTTGTGCTCTTTTTTCCCTCCTCTTGGTTTTGTCCCAATGGGTTTTCCAAGAGAAGTTTTTAACGAGGCTTGGCCACATACTTCTTACCTCAGCCCATTGTCATCATTCGGCCCTCTTCTCTTCTTGTTTCAATTTGAATTTCCTTAGTGTTATTTCTATCTTCTTTCTATTCAAACTTGGTCTTTATGTGCATGAATTTTCGAGGCATGTCTCTTAAATTCTATGCTTGACCGAAATGACTCTTCTCCTTCTTCCCCCTTCTCTTTATATTCTGTACTTGACTCTTCATTCGATTTTCATCAAACTTCTTATTTCTAAAACTCTCTCTAGTTGTTTGATCCGAATAGTGTGTAATATCTATTCAACTTGATTCTTCTCTTGGTGTGTAATATCCTAGAAGAATTAAGAATCGAAAGTCTAAGGAACATCCGCAATCCTTAGAAGTTTCACTTCACCCCCATCGTTCAGATCATTCACCAAACCAAATCATCACTTCCGCATCACCAATTCAACCACACGAAGAGCATCAAGGGGCAGGACTCATTCATCACGATCAGGAGTCTATCAGGTGGTATCAGAGCTGCTTCGTGCAGGTTGTGTCGATTTGAATCAAAAAGATTTCGTTTGTGACTTTTCATTATCAATCAAAACGTTTTTGAGAAAACTGTGTTATTATCTGTTTCCGAGCACCAGGTTGTTAGAATTGTTTAAAATCGAATACTGATCCAAAAATCGTGAAACCAGTTGTGTTCGAACCAAGATTGAGCTAGTTTCTGTTAAAATTGAAATCGGAATTTTTGGATGTGTTTTGATATTTTTCCCGAGTCGATTTCTCTGAACAGTCGCTAGTAGGTTCTTGTGGTAGTTGAAGAGTTATTCCTTTGTTTGATCCATTGTGTTGCGATTTCTTCCAAAGAACACTTGACTGGGGTTCTTTTTTGTTGATTTTCAGGATGGTAACGCCACCATTGGAAGAAGATGAAAGAGGAAGCAATAGCGTCAACCAAAAGCAAATGAATGAGACTATCGTAACCGAGGTAGCCAGACTAGTGGCTCAGCAGTTAGAGGCCTTTAAACTTGATCAGGAAAATTCGAGAAGAGCACGTAAGGAACGTGATAAGCAAAGTCAAGCAGATGCTAGCCATCACTCAGACTACTACAGTCATTCTTCTAAGACAAGTAGTCACCGACGAAGAAGAAGTGCTAGAGATGAGCGAGTGATTCCTAGGGATAATCTAGCTGGAGTGAAAGTTCGTATTCCTTCTTTCCAAGGCAGCAACGACCCTGAGGAGTATCTTGAATGGGAAAAGAAGATGGAACTCGTCTTCAATTGTCATGAGTACACTGAAGAGAACAAAGTCAAAGTTGCACCTACCGAGTTCACCGGGTATGCACTAAGTTGGTGGGATCAGCTAACTCTTACTAGGAAGCGTGTAGGAGATTTTCCAGTAGAGACTTGGAATCAGATGAAGCATCTTATGAGGAAAAGATTCGTGCCAAGTCACTATCATAGAGAGCTACACCATCGGCTGAGAAACTTGGTACAAGGCAATAGGACCGTTGAAGAGTATTTCAAGGAGATGGAAACTTTGTTGATAAGAGCTGATATTCAAGAAGATCCAGAAGCCGCCATGTCTAGATTCATGGGAGGATTAAACCGAGATATTGCTGACAAATTGGAGGTTCAAAATTATGAGGAGCTAGAGGAAATGATGCACAAGGCAATTATGTTCGAAAAACAACTTAAAAGGAGAAGCTCCAAGTCGAGTTTTGTTCCAGAAAAATCTAGCTATCACCGAGAAGTGAAGTCTGGAACTTCAAGAGATTACAAGCCGTTTGTCAAGCCCAAGGTTGAGAGTGTGGATCTTAAAGGAAAAAGTACTAACGTTGCACCAAGGACAAGAGACATTAAGTGCTTTAAGTGTCACGGCATTGGACATTATGCTAGTGAATGCTCCAACAAGAGGGTTATGATCATCATGGCAAATGGGGAAGTTGAATCTGCAGATGAGAAGCCTAAGGAAAGACAACTTGAGGATGAATCATCGGAGGAAGAGTATGAATCAGCCGCTAAAGGACAAATGATGGTGGGAGTCACCATGAGAGCTTTGAGTGTCATCACGAAATCTGATGAGCAAGAACAAAGAGAGAACTTGTTCCATACAAGGTATCTGGTTAGGGATCAGATTTGCAGCGTGATCATTGACGGTGGAAGCTGTACAAACGTTGCTAGCGAGACTATGGTTGCGAGACTTGGGTTGCAAGTAATCAAGCATCCGAAACCATACAAGCTGCAGTGGCTGAATGAAAATTGCGAAATGGCTGTGGATAATCAAGTCAAGGTACCTCTATCAATTGGAAAATATGAGGATGAGGTCTTATGTGATATTTTGCCAATGGAAGCTAGCCATATACTGTTGGGAAGACCATGGCAATCGGATAGGCAGGTTATGCATGATGGTTTCACGAATCGGCATAAGTTTGAGTTCAAAGGAAGAAAAACCGTGTTGCTACCTATGACCCCTCATGAGGTTTACCAGGATCAGTTGGTCATGAAGATGGGTAGAAAGAAAGCTATCAAACCATCTAACCTTGCTATTGTGCCGAATATCCCAAAGGGAAGTGATCTCCATAAACCGAACTTACTTTTTGTTTATAAAGAAACGCTTATGAGTATCACTAACCCTGAGCAGGAAATCCCTAGCACTTTTAAACATGTATTACAGGAATATAGGGATGTGTTTCCTGGGGAGAATCCGGAGGGATTACCACCCATTAGAGGCATAGAACATCAAATCGATTTTATCCCGGGAGCCTCATTGCCAAACAAACCAGCTTATAGAACTAATCCCGTGGAGACTAAGGAACTAGAAAAGCAAGTCACGGAACTCATGAAGAAAGGACACATCCGTGAAAGCATGAGTCCATGTGCTGTGCCCGTACTACTAGTACCTAAAAAGGACGGAAGCTGGAGGATGTGCGTCGATTGCAGAGCCATCAATAATATAACGGTTAAGTATCGCCATCCCATACCTAGATTAGATGATATGCTAGATGAGTTACATGGGTCTTGCATCTTTTCTAAGGTTGACTTAAAAAGCGGGTATCATCAGATTAGGATGAAGGAAGGGGATGAGTGGAAAACCGCATTTAAAACTAAGCAAGGGTTGTATGAATGGTTAGTGATGCCATTCGGGCTTACAAATGCACCTAGTACATTCATGCGATTAATGAACCATGTTCTTAGAGCATACATAGGGCATTTTGTGGTTGTTTACTTTGATGACATCTTAGTTTATAGCAAAAACTTAGAAGATCATGTTCAGCATTTGCGTAAGGTGTTAGATGTGCTTAGAACGGAGAAACTCTATGCCAACATGAACAAGTGTACTTTTGGAACGGATAACTTGGTCTTCCTAGGTTTTGTTGTGAGTGCAGATGGTGTTAAAGTGGATGAAGAGAAGGTAAAAGCAATTAAAGAATGGACTAGTCCAACCTCCGTAGGAGAAGTGAGGAGCTTTCATGGACTTGCGGGATTTTACCGAAGATTCGTTAAGGACTTTAGCACCTTGGCTGCTCCGCTTACTGAAGTTATCAAGAAGGACGTTGGATTTAAGTGGGAAACGGCTCAAGAAGAAGCATTTCAAACCTTGAAAGAGAAACTTACTCAGGCTCCTATCCTTTCCCTACCTGATTTTGTTAAAACTTTTGAAATCGAATGTGATGCATCGGGTGTTGGTATTGGTGCTGTGTTGATGCAGGAAAAGAAGCCTATAGCTTATTTCAGTGAAAAGCTAGGAGGAGCGACACTTAACTATCCAACCTATGACAAGGAACTCTACGCTTTGGTGAGGGCTTTACAAACGTGGCAACACTATCTCTGGCCAAAGGAGTTCGTGATCCACACCGACCATGAGTCTCTAAAACATCTCAAGGGACAACAAAAGCTTAACAAGAGGCATGCTCGGTGGGTAGAGTTCATTGAGACATTTCCCTATGTCATCAAATACAAAAAAGGTAAGGACAATGTCGTGGCTGACGCATTATCCCGGAGGTATGTGTTACTTTCATCTTTGGATGCCAAGTTACTTGGTTTTGAACACATTAAAACTCTCTATGAGAATGATTCTGATTTTGGAAAAATATTTGCTGCTTGTGAGAGATTTGCATTTGGGAAATATTATAGGCATGAAGGATACTTGTTCTATGATAACCGTTTGTGTGTTCCTAACTCGTCTTTGAGAGATTTGTTTCTAAGGGAAGCACACGGTGGAGGATTAATGGGACACTTTGGTGTGTCTAAAACTTTACAAGTCATGCAAGATCACTTTCATTGGCCACATATGAGGCGAGATGTTGAGAAAATGTGTGAGAAATGTTCAACTTGTAAACAAGCGAAAGCTAAGTCGCAACCCCACGGTTTGTATACTCCTCTCCCTATTCCTTTGCATCCTTGGAATGACATTTCAATGGACTTTGTAGTAGGATTGCCTAGAACTAAAACGGGTAAGGATTCAATCTTTGTGGTGGTGGATAGATTCTCTAAGATGGCGCATTTCATTCCATGTCATAAAACCGATGATGCTAAGCATGTAGCCGAACTGTTCTTTAGGGAAGTTATACGTCTACATGGCATGCCTAGGACCATCGTATCTGATAGAGACACCAAGTTTCTTAGCTATTTTTGGAAAACGCTTTGGTCTAAGCTAGGAACTAAGTTGTTATTCTCCACTACTTGCCACCCCCAAACTGATGGTCAAACCGAGATAGTTAATAGAACCCTATCCACACTTTTGCGTGTGTTGATCAAGAAGAACCTAAAGGCTTGGGAAGATTGTTTACCACATGTAGAATTCGCTTATAATCATTCCATACATTCTGCTTCTAAATTTTCACCATTTCAAATTGTTTATGGGTTTAATCCCACCACTCCTTTGGATTTGATGCCTTTGCCTCTGAGTGAAAGGAGTAGTACAGATGGAAAAAAGAAAGCAGAGTTGGTTCAGCGAATCCATGAGGCGGCAAGGAAGAATATAGAGGACAAGACAAAACAATATGCCAAGTATGCTAACAAGGGCCGCAAGGAACTTATCTTCGAGGAAGGAGACTTAGTTTGGATTCATCTCCGGAAAGACCGTTTTCCCAACGAAAGAAAGTCTAAACTAATGCCAAGAATGGATGGACCTTTTAAAGTGCTTCAAAGGATCAACAATAACCCCTACATACTGGATTTGCAAGGTAAGTATAACGTGAGTAATACTTTCAACATTATTGATCTTGTTCCTTTTATTGCAGATGAGTCGGATTTGAGGACAAATCCTTTTCAAGTGGGAGAGCCTGATGTGAGCATGGAAAGCATGGAGAGCTTGGAGCATGGAACTAAACCGCAGCTTGAACCCGTGGAGCTTGGAGCTGAAGATGATGAAGCATTGATCGTCCCCAATGGTCCCATGACAAGGTCTAGAGCAAAAGAGTTCAATAAAGTCATCAACAACCATCTACTTACCATTCAGGCCAGGCTTAGAAGTGAAGCTTGTCCAGCCACATTGGTTGTGATTCAAGTCGTCTAAGCGATGACAATGGAGGTGTGTGGACTTGTGCTCTTTTTCCCTCCTCTTGGTTTTGTCCCAATGGGTTTTCCAAGAGAGGTTTTTAACGAGGCTTGGCCACATACTTCTCATTGTCATCATTCGGCCCTCTTCTCTTCTTGTTTCAATTTGAATTTCCTTAGTGTTATTTCTATCTTCTTTCTATTCAAACTTGGTCTTTATGTGCATGAATTTTCGAGGCATGTCTCTTAAATTCTATGCTTGACCGAAATGACTCTTCTCCTTCTTCCCCTTTCTCTTTATATTCTGTACTTGACTCTTCATTCTATTTTCATCAAACTTCTTATTTCTAAAACTCTCTCTAGTTGTTTGATCTGAATAGTGTGTAATATCTATTCAACTTGATTCTTCTCTTGGTGTGTAATATCCTAGAAGAATTAAGAATCGAAAGTCTAAGGAACATCCGCAATCCTTAGAAGTTTCACTTCACCCCCATCGTTCAGATCATTCACCAAACCAAATCATCACTTCCGCATCACCAATTCAACCACACGAAGAGCATCAAGGGGCAGGACTCATTCATCACGATCAGGAGTCTATCAAAAAGGCATTCACCTGTATGCAAATGTGCCATAAGGGCATGTGAATGTTGTTTTCTCTTGATCCCGGGGATCTATGGGAATTCGGAAGAACCCCGAGTACCCATCGAGAAAACAAAAGAAGGGGTGGTTTGCAAGCCTCTCTAACATCTGATCAATGAAAGGTAAAGGAAAATGATCCTTCCTAGAGGCTGCATTGAGCTTTCTATAGTCTATACGCATTCTGTGTCCTGTGACAGTCCTAGTAGCTATAAGCTCATCCTTCTCGTTTTTAACCACTGTGATCCCACCCTTCTTGGGCACAACATGAACAGGAGACACCCATCTTGAGTCAGAGATTGGGTAAATTATCCCTGCCTCAAGAAGTTTTAGTATCTCCTTCTTAACCACGTCCTTAAGGTTGGGGTTAAGTCGTCGTTGATGCTCAATATAGGACATAGATTGGTCCTCTAGGTGCATCCTATGGGTGCAAATGTCAGGAGAGATCCCTCTAATATCAGCCAAAGAATACCCTATGGCTCTCCTGAATTTTCTTATCTCACTAAGCAATGCACTCTCTTGATCCTCTAATAGGCTATCATTGATGATTACTGGATAAGTGGAGTTTAAACCCAAGAAAGCATACCTGAGCCCTGTTAGTAGAGGCTTGAGCTCAACAGGGGGTGCATCAGCCTCATTCCAATCCTGGTCCAAGCTGCTTTGGTTGGTGTCTGATCCTTTGACAGGAAAAACCTCAGATCCACTTTGTTCCAGCTCCAAAAACCTTGTCTCAGGACCCAGCTCTCTTGCATTGTCCAGATACACCTTATACCCTTCACTTGCTTCAGCTAAGAGCCCATTGTCTCCTTGTTCTTGAGTTAGAGCAGCTTGAAGAGGATCCTCAGTGTTCAGCTCCTCTAGCAACTCATCAGCCAGCTGATCCATTGTCTCCACATAGAAACATTGACCTTCAATGGTGGGTTTCTTCATCATCTCATTCACATCAAACTTGAGCTTTTCAGACCCAAGTTGAAGCTCTATTATCCCACCTCTCACATCAATAATAGCTCCTGCAGTTGCTAAGAATGGCCTGCCCAAGATAAGAGGATCTACTGGTTCCTCATCAATTTCCAGCACAACAAAATCTGTTGGAACCTCAAAACCACCTATCTTAACAGGTAGATCTTCCAACATACCAACAGGCAATCTAACTGATCTATCTGCAAGGATAAGAGAGATCCTTGCAGGTTTGAAGACTCTAAAGCCCAGCTTCTTTGCTATGGAGAATGGCATCAAGCTGACTGATGCTCCTAGATCACAAAGACATCCAGAGAATAAAAGAGGTCCAATGACACAAGGGAGTGTGAAACTCCCTGGATCAGTTAACTTCCTTGGAATGGACTTCTTCTGAATGATATCACTGCATTCATGACTTAGTACCACCATGCCTTGAAGTTCTTTAGTTTTTTTCAGAATGGCATCCTTCAAGAACTTCCCCATCTTTGGCATCATTAAGAATGCATCAATGAGAGGCATAGTGAGTGGTGTCTCATTGAGTGCCTTCTCAAATACAGCTCTTGCCTTGTCCACAAGTTGCTTCTTAGATCTCCCTGGAAATGGGAGCTTGGGTTGGTATGGAGGTGGTGGCACATATACCTTTTCTGGTTCAGGTTCCTTTGCTACCTCTTTACCCTTTTCTGTCCTTGGTTTCTCAGCAACTTGATCATCTTTTAAGGCTGCCTCCCCCTCAGTTTGATCATTGTCTTCAATGATCACATTGTTGTTCTCAATACCAGGTAACTCCTTTCCACTCCTCAGTGTAATGGCCATGACATATTACTTAAGGTTGGGTTCTGGTTTTCCAGGTAGGTGACCTTGGTTCCTTGAGATTGATGCCTGGTTTTGCTTTAGTTCCTTGATTTCCTGCTGCATGGCTGCATTCTGGCTTGCAAAGATCTGTTGACCCTGAAGTAGTTGTTGCAGAATACCAACCATATCTGTCCCCATCTGTGGCTGCTGCTGAACCATTGGTGGCTGAAACTGTTGTTGAACCGGCGCCTGCTGTTGGAACTGTGGAGGACCAAACCCTGGTGGTGCCTTTTGCTGTTGTGAACTGAAACTAGGACCTTGAAAAGGTTGCTGTTGCTGACCAAAACCTTGATTCTGAGCAAATCGATTCTTTTGTTGAAAAGATCCTTGAATGTTGTTCTTGGGAACAATGTTCTGTGGAGCTTGAGAATTGGGATACACCTGGTCTTGTGGGTTAGCTACATTGGTGTTCCTGTAAGAAAGGTTTGGATTGGCATTACCATACTGATATCTCTGGAACCTCTGATTCCCAATGTAGTTTAGCTCCTCCTGGGTAAGACCTTCTTCACATATGTTCTCAAAGATTTGAGAGGGTTCCTCATACTCTCCAACAAAATGCATTGGCTTGTGAGTTACCAGCTTCAACTTATCCAATTCACTCCTCAACTCCTTGACTTCCCTAATCAGCCTCTGTTCTGAGCTTGAACCTTCAGATCTATTTGATCTGTCATAGTCTTCACCATAAGTATCATTGCTCAATGCTAAGTTCTCCACTAGCTCTAAAGCAGCATGAATCTCTTTACCCAGAAAGTTCCCATTGGAAGCAGTATCTAGCTGGTTTATAATCTTGGGAAGAGCTCCTCTATAAAGTGTGCTGAGAAGAGAAGCCTCACTAAACCCATGGTGTGGGCATTGGTTTGTGTAGCTCCTGAATCTCTCATATGCTTCACCAAAACTTTCATTGCTGTGCTGAGTGAAGCTAGAGATTTGGTTCCTCAGTTTTGCAGTTGTTGAAGTGGAGAAGAACTTAGATAGAAAAGCTTTCTTGCATTGCTCCCAGGTTTGAATGGAGCCTCTTGGAAGATTCTTCTCCCATTGGTGAGCTTTGTCACCAAGACTGAAGGGGAATAGTCTTAGCTTGAAGCTGTCTTCTGAAACACCATTAATCTTAGTCAGGTCACACACCTTATCAAATTGATCCAAGTGTTCCAAGGGATCTTCCATTGCTAATCCATGGAACTTTGAGTTCTGGACCATATTCAACAAGGATGCCTTCACTTCAAAGTTGTTGTTTTGCACAGGTGGTGCCTGAATTCCAGCTCCATATTGATGAGCATTGGCCCTGTCATTCTCGCCAACATAGACTTGTGGTTGCTCATATCTCCTTTGCTGGTGTTGGAAGGGCTGATGTTGGTGGTGCACCTGTTGTCTTTGCTGTACATTGGCCTGATGCCTCTGTTGATGAGCTTGAGCTTGTCCCTGGTGGACATAAGCTTGTTGTTGATGCACCTGTTCCTGATGAACATTATACTGATGTAACCCTTGACCAACTCCATTACCAGCTCCATTACCCTGAGCCTGTTGCTCCTGAACCGGTTGTTCTATATCCACCACATGCTCTCTTTGGTCTTCCATATCAGCCTGATCAACCTGTCTTCCACGTCTGTCCCTTCTCCTCCTTGGTACCAAAAAATTGATGTTGTCGTTGAGAGGGAAAGGTGGACCACAGCTTCTTGATCTAGACCTGGTGTTCATACACCTGAAATCACAAACAGAACTTGAAAGTAATCAGTAAAAACAAGAAAGTAAGCACTTGATCTCAAGAACAGATCAGAGCTTAATGCTAAATAAACCACAATTTGGCAACGGCGCCAATTGATAGCTAAGAGTTTTCAAGGCTCTTTGTAGAGGTTATCAATCCCCTGTCTTGTAGTACAAGGGGTTTATCAATCCAGATGTGGTGTTAGACACTAAACTATGTGATCAAGTTCTTAATTCAAGCAAACAAGAATGGTTTTGATTATCTAAAGACAACTACAAACTCAAACAGGATTAAAGACTAATGAAATGATTAAACAAGAACTAAACAATGACAAATGATGAGAATGTATGAATGATGATGAGAAAGGTCTTAGACATGATAGTGGATTAGGGTGCCTTCAGTGATAAACTAATGAGCTAATGAATCATATGATCAAGCAAACCATTCAACATAAACATCTTTAATTAAGTTAATCCTCTCATGAAGGTATTAACTCCTATGCTAAAACAGTTTCTAACCCAATCATCATCAGTGAAACATGAGTTAACAAGCATTAAGAATTAGTTTAATCTGTCATTTAAGCATATAGACAATCATTCCCATGATGAATAACACTTAAACCTCTAACAACCTTGGTTCAGACATTTCATCAAACACTTTTGATGCATGAAATGCCTAGAATCTAGACCACATATGATTTGTATGGATCTAGCATAGAGAACAAGTTGTAGAGAATGGAATATGCATGATCTAACCCCTAAGCTCACTAGTCTACCACTTAAGCACCCTAATCTACATATCTAAGACCTTAATATGAGATTACTCACTAATCACGATCAACACACTAGATCCTTTGCAAGATGAGTTGTTAATCATGATTAGAAGTGTGATGTGATGATAAGAAATGATAAAACAAGATAAAAAAGACTCTTCAAATCGATATTAAGCTCAAAAGTAAAGTGTAACAAGTGGTCTTTCACAAAAAGGGAAAAGAG